GTCGCCTCCGCCACCAGAGCCCCCTCCCGGCCCGCCCGCCGGCCCTGCCAGGCGGGCGGTTCCAGCTGTGTTCCATTAGCGGCCCTGGCAGCCCCCCAGCCCCCTGGAACCGCCCCCTCTCCCCCCACTCGGCGTGGCCGGCAGTCCCAGGCAGGCGTGCGCGCCGGGCAGCACTCGCACTCGGCCGGCCGGGAGAACTCGGGGCCCCGGGAAGCCGGGGACCCACGGCCTAAGAAATCCTGAACCTTGCAGAGTGGGAGGAAGCCAGCGCCTGCCTCCCCTGGCTGGCGCGCCCCGTGCTACCTGGATTGTTCAGTAAGGTGGGGGATCCCCGGCCACTGGTAAGCGAGTGGAGTGGGCTGCCTCTGGGGCTCTGGGCTGCGGGGTCCTCTTTACCCCCGACTTGCTGTGTCACTTGGGGCCAGTGGCTTTCCCTCTCTGGGGCGCAGCCAGCTCTTCCATAACCAGAAGAGCTGTGACTTGGACTCGGGCTCACCCACCCCCAGATCTCTGTGTGCCTATGTTGGCTGTGCATCTCCTGGGAAACGGCTCTTCTTCCCTCCCGTAACCCCTCCCCCGCCGGTCCTGGTGGGGGCCAGAGACGGGGGTCAGAAGGGAACACAGTACATTCATGCTCTCTCCTCCACACGCAGCCACATGCCTCCCCACAGAGGCAGCCCTTTCCCTGGCTAGCAGGGCGGAGGCTGGGACGGGGTTGGAGAGATGGGTTGTGACCGCTACTGGAATGGAGATGAGGACTGTGGGGTCTGGTTCTTCCTGGAGAGGAGGGGACGGGAGGCCCATCTCTGAATGTACTGGGATGTCTTCATTCAGGACCAAGGGAGGGGAAATAGGATTCCATTACAGCTGGAAGGAGTGAGGTCAGACTTGCATAAGAACTTCCCCACAGGAAGCCTTACAGGAGGGGTGGACATAGGCTGGCCATGTGCATGTGTGTACGTACAAGCTGGTACTGGCACGTGTGTCTTGGTGGGCATGCACCGTTGTGTTTGGAGCATGCCCACATGCATGCACTGGCATCTATGCGTCTGTGAGAATATGCCTGGCTCTGTGTGCGCCTCGTCTTGGGCATGTGCATGTCTCTGTGTGTCCTGTTGACTTGCCTGTCCGGGGGGAAGCTGGATGATGTATGACTCTGCTGGCCGCTTGCTGAGCCCGCATTGATTTATCTGGGCCCATCCATCAGGGTTTAATAAAACGAAAAGACGAGCATCCATCAGCAGGAGAGGTTGGCGACGAGGTCCTTCGCCCCAATGACCTGCTCTCCTGCCCACTGGGCCTACGGGAAAGCTTCCTTGGCCCACACACAACTCAGTGACGCCTGCCAGGAGAGTCGCCCAGCCGGCGGCCCCTGACTTTGTGGGTACCTGGCAGGCGGCCGGGGGCTGAGCTGGGTGCAGCTGGCCAGGTACCAGGCTGGTACACACTAGTATAGTGCACAGGCTGTTACACTGCTGACAGGCTTCCAAGAGTCTTGGAAAACAGGCTTGGCCTCAAGCCCCCCTCTCTATTCCTATTGCCCTGGCCTCTCTGAATCCTCAAAACCTCTCTACCATCTAGCAACTCTCCCCTGGCATAGCCAGGTGCCCTCTGGACCTGCGTCCGGGCTCCTGCCAGCAGTCTGCTCCGACTGGTCTGTGTCTGTGCCGCGTCAGTGGCTAAATATTTTGAGAATCACTCCAGCTCAAGGGCTATGCTTGGGCCCCAGAGAGGGACTGACATCTGTCCAGACCTCCTGCCACTCTGTCCCAGGGCCTGGTCCCCCCGGGGCTGGCGGCTTCTCGCCCCTGTGTGGAGTTGTGCTGTGTGCACTCAGGAATCTGCCTCCCAGCCTCTGTGGTTTTCAGGTGCTGCGGCTGCGGCTGACCTCTCTGGACCAGGATGTGGGCATATTGGGCTCCCGGCCTATGGCTGTTCGGTCTCTGGGCCACCTGCAGTCATGGGGCACAGACAGGTGAGATGACACAGGAGGGTCAGGCTCTCTGAGGTCCGGGGTTCTGTGCACTTATATGGCACTACCTTTGGCTCATGGGGGAGAGTCTGAGGTCTGGGCGCAGGGTGACCTGGGACTTTGGAATGCGCAAGCCTTAGCAAGGGTGAGCTAGAGTGTGGGTGTGTTTTTGTCTCTGTGTCTCTGTGTCTGCATCTTCGTGTCTCTCTGAGCATCTCTGTATCCCTGTGTCTCTGCCTGTGAGAGAACAGGCCCACCCAACCCCCATGCACATCCAGCCTGAGTGTTAACAGGACTAGCAGGATGAGAAGGGGCAGGCAGTGAGCTCTTCCTACAGGAGGAAGCAGCGTCCTGAGTGAAGTCCGGGCCCCTCCAATCCTTATCCTGGTGCAGAACCCATCTCCAGCCCACAGGCTCCTCCTCTTCCTCCTCCTCCAAGGTTGGCCCTATAAATCAGATAGAGGACCCACCCCAGGGCCCAGCTCTGAATGGGAAAGAGGTTGCAGCTTTCCAGGGCCCTGAGCCAAGGGAAGTTGACCAGGCACCTTGCCCGGCCCTGCTGGGTGCCCTGTAGGTGGCGTGGCAGCACAGCCGTCCGGCTGAACAGGCACAGAACGTCCAAGTCTGGCTGACAGAGGCAAGGACCTGGGGGGCTATACACTCCCCCAGGGTGCCCGGGATGGCCTGTGGGCTATGTGTGCCTCATGGGTGTGCACATATGGGTGTCTGCATGCGTGTGTGTGTGTGTGTGTGTGTGTGTGTGTGTGTGCATGCCTTGCTGTGCGCTCCCTCGCCAGGTCCCCTGGGGGCCTAGGGCAGAGAATTTCAACATCTGTAAAGAATCTGGGCCCGCGGCCAGTGGGTGAGTCACCCGTGGCTGCTGCCGGCGCTGAAGACAGTGATGGTCTTTCTGGCCAGAACTGGAGGAGGGGGCTCCAGTGGGGTCACTGGGCCCAGGGATCCGGGGCTCTTTCTTCCTGCCAGACCGGCCAGGGACTCCCGTTTGTGGGCACCGCCTTCCCCATCTTTCAGGCTACCCAACCATCCCTGCAGGGCTTTAGAGGCCTGAATTCACCCATCCTCTCCTTCAGGAGAAACCCAGTCTGGAGCCCCAAGGCCCTGAGGTTCCTTTGAGCTTGTGGTCCCCTCGGGCCCTCAGTCTCTTCTTATTGCTTCACAAGGTAGCTATCCCGGTGAAAAGTCATTCTGTTGGTTCAGACTTGTGTGTGATTGGGATGCGGGAAGTTGAGCCCCACCCACCCCTGAGCACACGCGCACCAATTGCGGACAGCATTCCTGGGGGCATGGGCATCTACAACTCCTGTATGTGCAGGCATGCACATGTAACTGTAAATTATACAACCACACATGGCCTAGGTGCTTTCTTGCCCCTGAAGTGCCTCCCTGCTCCACCCCACCAACCCGGGTGTGTGTTCATGGCAGAAGTACACGATATAACTGCTCCGGCCTGACCTGAGCCTTCAGACTGCTCCGAGCAGTGTCCTTCTCTCTCTTGCCTCCCTGGTTTCGGACTAGGACTTTGGGGCACAAGGGCTCAAGGAGCCCCGCCTGGCTCTGCTGCAGACTCACCTGGTGGCTGTGGGTCAGGCCTCAGTCTGTGGGTCTCAGTCTTCCCGTCTGTATGATGGAGTCTCCCCCACGCCCCACCCCTCCTCCAGTCGCCAGGGTGAGAAAGCAAGTGACGTTGGCAGCCCCCCAGGTGGGCCTCAGCTGAAGGTCCAGAATGAGGACCTGCAGCACATCCCTCTGACGGCCTGAGAGCCTGGCTGTGCAGCTCCCTTGGCCTGAGCCCCCTGCTGCCCACCTGCCAATTCTCTTCCAGGTAAGCAGTGCCCACCTTCACAGCAAGAAGGGCTCAAACTGGAACACAGCAGTGACTTGTCGTCCAACATGACCGGTGAGTGCCTGCCTCATGCCGCTGTCCCCTCGCCGCCCCCCTCTCTTTGGAGTGGCCCGTGTGTGCCTCACTTGTCTCACTGTCCTCTCTCTCCTGGGCAGGCTTTAACCTCATCCGCCGGCTGAACCTCATGAAGACTTCTGCCATCAAGAAAATCCGCAACCCCAAGGGGCCGCTCATCTTGAGGCTGGGGGCCGCCCCACTGACCCAGCCCACACGGTAAAGAGCCCGCCAGGACCACTGGGAGTCAGTGGGAACCTCAGCCACCCTCCCCGGCAACCCAGGGGCCTTCTGTCCCACACCACCCTGGCCTCCACTCCTGGGGGTGTCGTAGGGGTGGGGGTGGTACAGAGAGGGGTGCTGGCAGACACCTTGCACCATCACCCCTCTCCTCCCATCCCCCGCTGCTTTCCCTCCCCTCTCTCTGGCTAGCAGACAGACATGCAGACAGCCTTGCATCCTCTGGACCTTATCAGAACTCCAGGATGAGGCTGGAACCTGGCAAGAGTCCTGTGTGCATGTGTGTATGTGTGTGAGTGTGCGTGTGGACGTGTGTGCATGCCCCTATGAGTGAGGTCCAAACTCCCTCAGTCCTGAGTGGTCTGGTTCCTGGTAAGCTTTCAAAGCACCCCTCTTTCTTTCCCGCCGCGCCCTCATCGTCCCGTTGCACCTGCTTCACCGACCCCCAGCTCTTTGCCCCCCGGGAGGGGAGCCCGTCTTGGGGTTTCCTCTTTCCCTTTGTCTCATGAGCATGGCCCACTGAGCACAGGACTCACCGGAAGCATCATTTCTCCGACCCACAAGGCCCCTTCCCCAGTTTCCATGAAACAGCCCTTCTGGGGGGTCTTGACCTGTGGCCTGTGGCCCCGCCCCCATCAGACTGCAGGCTCCCTGCAGCTACTCCCTCTGTCTTCACCATGCCTGGTGGCCAGTTGGTGCTCAGGGCCTGGGTGTGGAATGAGGGACCCTGTGTGCATGTGTGCCAGCATGTGACCGGAGGGTTCCGGTGCACATAGTGGGGCCCCCACCCGAGTCTCAGAGTGTCCTTCTTGCCTCCTCCAGGCGAGTGTTCCCTCGGGGCCTTCCACATGAATTTGCATTGGTGCTGACTCTGATGCTGAAAAAACACACACCCCAGAGCACGTGGTATTTGTTTCAAGTGACCGATGGAGACGGGTACCCACAGGTGAGCCCCCTGGGCCCTACCCTCACCCCTTGCCCCATGGCCTCTTGGGGTATCAGTCAACAGCACCCGTGCAGCCCGACCTCTGTCCCAGCCTGTCTGTGCTTGCCCCTGACTGAGTGTGTTGCACAAACTGTCCCGTCCTTTCGGAGTAAGCCTGGCCCTGTGACCCTAGCTTCCTTTCTGGGTCTGCATCATCCTGGAATGAGCTCGAGGGTCACGCTGTGATTCTCCGTCCTACCCCCTTTGCTGATTTCCACACAGATGTCCCTGGAAGTCAACAGCGGCGAGCGGAGCCTGGAGCTCCGGGCCCGGGGCCAGGATGGCGATTTTGTGTCCTGCATCTTCCTGGTGCCCCAGCTATTTGACCTGCGCTGGCACAAGCTGATGCTGAGTGTGGCTGGCCGCGTGGCCTCTGTGCACGTGGACTGCACCTCGACCTCCTCCCAGCCCCTGGGGCCCTGGCGACCCGTAAGGCCGACTGGCCATGTATTTCTGGGCCTGAATGCTGAGCAGGGCAAGCCCGTCTCCGTGAGTATCAGGCTGTTCCTGGCCTCTGCTCCTGAGCTTTGAGTGCCCGGGTGAGCTCCCCAGAGCCCATTTCTGCAGATTCCTCTGTGGCTCCCCATCGCCCTCCACAGTGATCTGGCATATCCCAGGCCCTTGGTGATCTGGTCTGGTTCATCCCTCCCTCTCAATCACATGCCTCGTCTAGCTCATACCTCCCAGCCTTTGACTGCTGTCACCTCCGCTGGGAATGCCCCCCTTCATTCCCAGCCTCCCCCTTCCCGTTGCCCTGGGCTAAGATGAGCCATGTCACCTTCCCGCCTCCTTTCCGAACATGCAATTCCGCCCTGCCTTTGGTGACTGCAGGGTTTTCGTGTGAGCCGAGCTGCCCCACTAAGCCATCTTGCGGTTGTGAGCTGCTGTGGAGTCAGCTCCTGACGCTGTTACAGAGAACTGAGCTCTCCCCACAGGGTTCTCTCCACTGAACAGAACCCGTTTGCCAGGCCTTCACTACAGAGGAGCGGCTGGCTGGTTAGCGGCCAATCCCAAGCCGTTTCCGGGAGACTTGGGTTTTTCATTGTCCCCCAGGCCGGAGGCCCTGGCCCTGGGCACAGGACTGGTGGATACGCTGATGTGCCTCGCCTTTTTGTGTCCCCGCAGTTTGACCTTCAGCAGGCGCACGTCTACTGTGACCCTGAGCTTGTGCTGGAGGAGGGCTGCTGCGAGATCTCACCGGATGGGGTGAGAGGGCGCCGGGTGCTGAGGGTTGGGGGTCGGAAGGGATGCCTTGCCTTCGCAGCAGGAGCCGGTGGGCGAGGGGCAGTCTGCCCTCTGTACTGAGCAGCCACTCCCCCACCCCGGGCAGTGCCCTCCAGAAACTTCCAAGGCTCGCCGGGACACCCAGAGCAACGAGCTCATTGAGATCAACCCCCAGACAGAGGGCAAGGTCTACACGCGCTGCTTCTGCCTGGAGGAGCCGCAGAACAGCCAGGTGGGTCAGCAGGGTCAGCAGCACCGAGGGCCCCTCTTTTGACTGGAGGGCTCCGGCCCCAGGATACGAAGGGTACTGGGGGCTTGGCCTATTTGCATACTACCTACAGGATTCAGGGAGACAGCTTTCTGGATGACCCTGTGCCCGTTTGCCTGTGGGCATGGAGAGTTGTGCCCACCTCACTTGGCCACCGCAGACCCATCTGGTGAGGGCAGGAGCTGACTTGCACCCCAAAGTAGTTCCTCCAAGCCGGGGACTCCTGGGGTCAGGGGCCAGGCTATAGGCTTCCTGCAGGGTTGCTTACTCACCTGGGCCCAGCCCTGACTAGTGGCTGGGTCTATGCCCCGTACCGTGGCCAGCTGCCCTGCCCAGGCACAGGCTCTTTAGGGGGTGTCAGGGAATGCTAGTGTCCTGTTAGCCCCATTCATAACTGGGCAGCCTCCCTGCCCACCTAGGCATCGTGCCCAGTCTTGGGCTACAGGAACACAGGGCCCCATTGATTCATGGCCCTGCTTTCTCCGACATCATGTGTGGGTGGGGGGCAGAGGGAGGGGTGTAAAGAAAAAGAGGGGCGAGGGAGGCCCCAGGAGTCTGAACATCAGAGTCAGGCTGAGGGGGTACATGGGGTTTCTGCCCACTGCCCGGGTGCCCCTTTCCAGCCTGGTCCCCAGAACTTCCCCTCCTCAGGGTTTCCCCTCTGCTCTGTCTGCCCAGGTGGATGCCCAGTTGTCGGGAAGGATCAGCCAGAAGACAGACAGGGGAGCAAAGGTAGAGATGGCGATGGTGGGGTGGGGAGCCTTCACTCTGCCCTCTGGAAGTCCTTGGATAGGGCTCTCGATACCCACCCACCCTCCTGTACTCCAAGCAGAGCTTAGATATGTAGGAGTCAGCTGAGAAAGAAGGGTGAGTGAGCACGGGTCAGCTAGCAGCCTGGCAAGAGCTAGGCCACCACAGATAGTGGCTCTAGGCACGGGTGTTAGATGCGGTACTTGCCCCTCTGAAGTTCTTGCCCCTTCCCCATGCACTTCCTCCCCCAGGCACATCGGGGGACAGCAGCTGATGAGGTAGGCCCCCATCCGGACCGGAACAAGGGCTCCTATAAGAGGTGCCTGCAAGAGCATTTCCGACAGGCTCCGGGTTACTGAAGCCTGGGCTTGGGGTGGCCCAATGATGACACAGTTCCCAGCCTGCTGTGGGAGTCCAGTGCCAGGCCCTGCCCATCTCCCACCTTTCCTGGGGGTAGGGTGGGAGGGATTAGCTCTGGCCACTACCTTAGAGTTGACCGCAAAGGGTGCCAGGCGTCGCTGCAGAACCTGGTTTAAGGGCCTTGTGGGGAAGGACTCTGGGCCTGGGCTGGTGGGAGTTGGTGGGCGAGGAACCCTGTCTTCAGGCCCGATCCAGAGCACACGTGATGTTCAGCAGGCTTGTGGGGGCAGAGGGTGGGGAGGATTCTTAGGGGGGGCGGCGGGGGATCAGAATTGTTCATCTTGCTTTACGCTTTCCTTTCAGTGCCCACCCTGTGGTGTCCGGGAGAGCAACGTGAGTGAATAGGGTGTGAAGGGTGGCTGGGTGGGACACCAATTTCTGGGCAGGGCAGGCTGGGGGAGGGCGTGGTGCAGGTTGGGTGAAAGCTTCGGGATGGAGGACAAGAGGGTCTTTGTCCCTTTCTATACCCCCCATATCCCCCCACCCCCAGGCCCAGCCCCGCCAAGCCAGGGTTTCAGGAAAAGAGGCCTCCCATGCTGGGACGCAGGGTGGAGAGGGAGTCGGGTGGTGGCGGAGCAAGGTCAGGACTTGGTTGCTGACCCAGCTTCCTGCCCGCACACAGATGCAGGCCTGCTCTTAGGGGCTTAGGGCGGAGCACTGGCTCAGGGTTCCACAAACCACACTGACCCCAGAACTACATGCGCCCTCCAGGCCTGAGCATGCTCCCCTCCCCCGAGCCCACCAGCTGGCCCTGGCCCAGCCTCCCTCTGGGGTCCACAATGACCAGGGAAGAGGGGCTCACTGGAAGCCCAGCTGGTACCCAACTGTGCCTCTTCCGTGGGCAGCATGAGTCACTGCTTTCCCACAGTTGACGTTCTGAGTCAACATGCCACGTTGGCCCACACAAGGCACACCCCCGGCTCCCCTCAGCACCAAGTCCCCCTGACCACGGGGGCGGGGGGGGGGCCTGAGGAGGTCCCCCTCTGCTGCTTGACCCTCTCTCCATCTGCTCCTCCTCCAATCTGGTCAGGCTGATGGCCCACAGATGTGCGGTGGTTACCACAGCAACTAGATAACCATCTTTTCCTGGTAGCTGGGAGGCAGCCTAGCCAGGGTAAGGGGAGAAGGGAAGCCCTGTCGCTTTAGGAAGGAGCACCAGTGTGCAGGCTGATGAGGAGCTGTTGATCAGCCACCGTGCTGGGTGACCCTGCCTTGGTGGCTTGTCCCCATCTGGTTCTTTCCTTTGCCCCCTTAGGTCACCCTTGGTCCCTCTGGCCCCAAGGTGAGTCCCAGACAGAGAACAGGACACCCCTGCCCTATTTGATGGCCTGGAGTCTGTAGAACCAAGGCTGTGTGTTTGTGTCTTTGTTACCCCAGCCTGAGTGTGGCAGTGGGCAGAGAGCAGAGGGGTGTGTGGGCACAAAAATGCTTAGAGCTAGCTGCCTTGTTCTGGGCCCGACTATGAGCAGGCTCTGAGCCACATGGGGCATCTACTACCTTCCTGAACTTCCTGTGGAGTGAGTGCAAGCAGCCCCAGTGATGCAGTGGGTTACGTGTTGGGCTGCTCACTGCGAGGTCTGCAGTTCAAAATCGCCCGCCGCTCCTTGGGAGAAAGATGGGACTTCGACTTCCGTAAAGAGTCATAGTCTCAAACCCGCAGGCAGTGAGTCCGACGAGGAGTCGGAACTGATTCGATGGCAGTGAGTTTGGTAGTTTTTGAAGTGAGGTCTGTCCTTTTGCTGCAGGGGAGACCGAGGTGGAGCCGGGGCAGGGTGTGTGTGTGTGTGTGTGTGTGTGTGTGTGACTGGGCATGTCACAGTGGTTGAGTGTGAGCACGTCTATCTCCCTCTCTGGGCCACTGTGTGCCTGAACACCTGTGCACGCGTGGAGCCTCGGGGCCGGAGGAGGGAGCCGAGTTCCTGTGGGCAGCACTGGGGGCAGTGGGAGGCTGCGCTTAGGGTGTGTTCTGCACTCAGCGCTGACTCTGGGCCGGGCGTCCCAGCGCATCCTCCCCGCACCCCCTGGCACTCTGTGCTGAGGGACCCCCATCTCACTGATGAGGAAACTGAGGCTCAGAGAGAGCACTGAGCTGCCCCTAGCCACACACCAGCATTTGGCGGTGGCGGGACAAGCGCAGGCTGGCTGCCACTCATTGCTGTGGGTTTCTGTGGGCCCACACGTACGTCCACGCACATGTGGCCTGCGCCCCAGGAGTAGTGGCGTGTGGCTGTGTGCTTTCCGGTGGGGGAAGAGACCACTTATTTGCCAAATATAGCCTTTGGTTGGGTGGCAGGTGAGGGGAGTGTAGGAATGCCTATGGCATCTGTATGCTTGTGCATGGTGGGAGTAGGGTGGGCCTGGGCACTGCCCACGTGTGTGCAGATTCACAAACCCATGTGTGTTGCGGTAGGTGGAGGGGAGGGGTGCACAGGGCCGGGGAGCTTCTTGCAGCTTCCTGATAGAAGCTCTGGTCTCACCCACAGGGTGAGCGAGGCCTGCCCGGCCCTTCAGGCTTCAAGGGAGAGAAGGGAGCTCGGGTAAGTGTGCCAGTCATGCTGGCTGCTGGCTGCAAGGCCCTTGCCAACGTGCATGGGGGTGGCATGGAATGGAAGCCTGCATCCTGGCCCAGGTACAGGTGGGAGGTCAGGATCTTGCTGGGGGTGGCGTGTCCAGGCCTCTGCTTTCCAGGGGTTCCAGGAACTGGGGGTGAGGGGAGCTCAAAGTCCCTGGTTAACTTACAGCTGCTAATGGAAAGGTGGGAGGTGGGAGTCAGCCCAGAGACACCTTGGAGGACAAGCCTAGAGAGGTACATCTGAACAGTTAGCAGTGTGGACCCCCGGGGCACAGACTCCACAACACCTGGTGGTGACCTCCAGAGGTCCACCCCTCCCCTGATCCCGTCTTTGCACACACCTCCCCAGGGCAGTGACTGTGTGAGGATCTCCCCCGACGCCCCACTGCAGGTAAGAGCTGGAGCAAGGCCTGCTTCCGGCCCGAGGTGGGGGCTGGGGGTGGTGGGGTGGGCCCCTCTCAACACCTCTCTCCCTGCTCAGTGCGCAGAGGGACCTAAGGGAGAGAAGGGGGAGTCGGGAGCCTTGGTAAGTGTGGGGCCAGGGGTGGGCCCGTGGTGGCAGTGTCCCAGTCCAGCTTCATCTTCTTCTCTCACCCCTTCTTCCATGTGCCCCCCGCATCTCAACACCTCTCTCCCTGCTCAGTGCGCAGAGGGACCTAAGGGAGAGAAGGGGGAGTCGGGAGCCTTGGTAAGTGTGGGGCCAGGGGTGGGCCTGTGGTGGCAGTGTCCCAGTCCAGCTTCATCTTCTTCTCTCACCCCTTCTTCCATGTGCCCCCCGCATCTCAGGGACCCTCAGGACTTCCGGGCTCAGTAGGCCAGAAGGTAGTGGGCCTGGGTTTGGTGGGGTGGGTACTGGGTCAGTCTGGGGCCCCACCCATGGGAGACCTGGTTCCTATGTCCTGAGACTAGAGGCGGGACCAGTGAGCTCAATGCTGATAGCACCCTGGCCCTCCCTGTCCTCCTGCCTCATCCAAATGCCTGCCCAGACCCATGGGCTCCCTGGGTGGGAAACCTGGCCTGGCTGGGAAGTTCTTCCGATTGTCTGCCATTCATTCTCAAAGAGACAGACCAGTGGTCTAGAAGGCAGCTGGCCCTCCCTCCACGTGCTTCCCCAGCCCCATACCTCTGCCTCTCTCTTCCCAGGGCGAGAAAGGCTCGAAGGGAGATGGAGGCGTCAAGGGCTTGCAGGGGAGGCCAGGCCGAGACGTACGGTGCTGGGGACCCTTACCCTCTAACCCCCAACAGGGCGCTTGGGATTGTTAACTGCTGGAGTGTAACCCCAGGGGTCTAGCCTCCCCTGCTCCCCCATACAGGAGAACTGAGGCCCAAGGACTGGAGGGGTTGGGTGCTGGGCCCAGGAGGCGCAACAAGGAACCCAGGCCTCCTGCCCCCCAGCCTGCAGGCCTCTGACCTGATGTTGGGTGACTCTGGGGCCCTGGGGAGGGGTCTGGCCTTGGAGAGGGGCAGTGAGGGGGCATTTAACTGTCCTGGCAGTAGCTGCTGCCTTACCCCTCTGCTCTCGCACAGGGTCGGCCGGGAGAGATCTGTGTCATTGGACCCAAAGGACAGAAGGTGAGTTGGGGTGTCCGTGGAGTGGAATGCGGGCTTGTGTGTGTGTGTGTGTGGCCAAGGCATCAGCTCTCTCATGCCCCCTTATGTCTGTGCCAGGGAGACCCAGGCTTTGTGGGACCAGAGGGACTGGCAGGGGAACCTGGACCCCCTGGTCTCCCTGGGCCTCCTGGGGTAGGACTGCCTGGGACCCCGGTGAGTATCCTGTGCCCTCAGAGACCCCCTCTGCCGCCCTGGCCTGTGGGTAGGGGAGATTAGGCACCGTCTTGGGGGTCCTGGTTGAAGGGCGGGTTAGGGTAGAAGATACAGAAAGCATCATCACTGTGGTGAGAGGCCCCTGACCCTGTTTCTGCCTTCAGGGGGATCCGGGTGGCCCGCCAGGCTCAAAGGGAGACAAGGTAAGCATGGACAGGGGCCTGGGCCCATGGGGCAGCTGGCAGCCAGGGTACTTGGGGCACAGAGTCAGGCACTTCCTACTGGGGGTTGGACTCTGCTCACCATCCTTCGGGGTGGCCTGTGCCCCCAATCTAGGACTTGCTGAGGGAGGAGCCTTGGCCTGGGCCCCAGGCTTGGAGACCAGCCAGCCCAAGTCTAGTAATGACCAGAAGGTCATAGCGGGAGGTTCAGGTTCCTTCCAGGGCCTTGGGCCTGAAGCACAAGCCCCAAGAATATCTGCCAGTCTGTTGGTCTGCAAACTGCGGTTCCCCCAAGCCCTTATCCAGCCAGCTACTCCAGGGAAGGGCCCGCAAAACCTCAAACTCTCCCTTCCTTTGCTGCCAGAGGGCTTGGGTTAGACACGGAGAAGGACAGGCCTCAGGAAGGGAGCATTTGTTGACCAAATGGGTCCAACAGAGTTGGAGAGCTCACGGCTCACTCCCTGCTGGGGGGTGGGGGGGGGCTGCTGGAGAAGAGGGAGTGGGCTGGGGTCACTTGGGCCATACCCCTTAACCTTTCCTCCCACCACAGGGCAGCTCTGGGACTCCGGGAAAGGAGGGTCCTGATGGGAAGCCTGTGAGTGGGACCAGTCTCGGGACATGGGGTGTTGGAAGGGGGGTCAGTGCCGACTGTGCCCAGGTCGTTGGCAATGCCACAGCCTATGAAGGGAGGAGGGGCTGGGACCTTGGCCTTCTCTTGACACAGCAGACCCCTGTCCCAGCACTAACACCCACTGCTGCTTCTTCAACAGGGGAGACCAGGTGTACCTGGGCTGAAGGGGGAGAAGGTGAGTGCCAGGTCTGGCTGGGTAGGGATGGGAGCCCCTTCCTAAGCATCAAGGGAGTTGAGCCCATGGGGACTGGGCCATCTGCAGGGCAGAAGCCTGCCTCCCTTTTGCCCAAGCCCTTCTTCATGACTGTGTGGTTGCTAGAGAGAGCCCGCTTCCAACTCTGGCTCTGCCACCTGGGTGGATGATGAAGGCGGGCAGCTCAGTTAGGAGCCCTGGTCTCATAGTGGTTACGTGTTGGGCTGTTCACCGCAAGGTCAACTGTTCAAACTTGCCAGCTGCTTGGCGGGAACAAGACAGGGCTGTCTACTCCCGTGAAGTGTTAGCCTTTGAAACCCACAGGGGCAGTTCAACCCTGGGCTCTGTAGCTGCTTTGAGGTGGCCTGACTCGATGGCAGTGGGTGGATGAGCCAAGTTTCTCTGTCTGTACCATGGGCGCCAGTCCTTCCTCTGGTTTGCGAAGGTGTCGTTAGTGATGTCCAGGGAAGGCGAGCAAAAAGGCCCCCCATCACTCTGGCTGTTCACGTCGATGTCAGGGGTGCGGTGCTGGTTGACCTGTGTCTAGAGCTGGGGTGGGCATGAGGCTCCTGCCTTTTCTGGGGCCCAGTCTTGCTTTGTCCACTTCCGGCTAGGGTGACCCCTGTGAAGTGTGCCCAACGCTGCCTGAAGGGTTTCAGAACTTCGTGGGGCTGCCTGGAAAGCCAGGGCCCAAAGGGGAGCCCGGAGATCCTGCACCGGCCAGGGTGAGTGCCCGTGGTGGCCATGGGGGGGGGGAGGGCGGGGACCGCCACCACACAATGGGGTATGGTCATCGGAGTTGGGCAGAAGGACCGGCTACCTCTCTTGACCATAGAGAGATTGTGAGCAGAGGGTCCGAGTTCCTACCAGGGTGAGGGAGAGGAGACTGGGCTAGGGGGCTGCCCCAGGTTTCCTTGGCAACATACCCGCGCTCTTAAAGAGGCTCTAGGATGCCTTTTAGGCAGGCTGGGTTGGGACCAGGCCTTATGGTGAGTAAGCCTGGACCCTCCACCCGGGAGTGGTATTGCTGGGGGTTGAGGAAAGTGGGTGGAGTTGGGACAGGGTGGCCTGGACTCCCACCCCCACTTCCTCACAGACCCTCTCTTTCAGGAGGCGGGTCTGGGAGCAATTGGACAAAAAGGTGATCGGGTATGTATGGGGAACATCTATTGAGAAGGCTCGATCCTGGCTCCCTCTTCCCAGTCTGATACTCGGGTTGATGAGCGCTGTCACTGGTCTGCTGGCCTGGGACCCCTGGGTATTTGGAGGGAGTGGTGTTGCTCTTCTTATATGTGGCCAAGAAGTTTGGGGTGCCCCAACTCACCCAGGCCCAGCCATAAACCTTTTCTCCCTGCAGGGGGACCCTGGCCTCCAAGGCTTCAAAGGAGAGAAGGTAAGGGAGCCCCAGTCCCCTCTGTGCCCCTCCAGCCCCCAGGGTGCCTTGTTGATCCCTTCTCTTCCCTGCCAGGGGGAGTCCTGCTTGTCCTGCAGCCTAGGTGTGGAGGCCCAACATCTCAGCGCCTCCACGACCTCTGCCCTGCCTGGGCTTCCTGTGAGTGACCGCCACCCGGCCCAGGCCACCCCAGTTGTCAGGCGCTGCTTCCTGGGCAGGGGCCAGAGGGAAAGCAGGAAGCAGACGCCAGGCCTGCAGGCTGGCCCCTCCTCCCAGCCCTGCTCTGCTTTTCTTGACTGGATGCTCCCAGCTAGTGCCTGGGAGCACGCAGCTGTGTAATGGGCATGATGGGATTCTTCCTTCTGAGTTTGCCTTTGTCTTTCTGGGTGCCCTCTGGGAACCACAGGGGGATGTTGGAGGGAGGGGTGGGAGTTGGGCGGGGGCTGCTTTGACTCTGACTTGGTTGCTTTTCAGGGGAAAGTTGGGGCTCCAGGGCCAACAGGGCTGAAAGGAGAGAAGGTGAGATGGGGCCGGTGTCAGGGCAGTGAGGTGAAGGGGGCTGGGCACTGGGAAGGAGGGGCTCCATAGAGGAGAGCTCCAATCAGCATGGAGATCCACTCCACTTCCAATAGCTTATTCCCCAGAGGGCCCCACCCTCCCTCCTTTCTCCAAAAGGATTCCTTAATGGTGCCCTGTGAGTTGCTTGGTAACCTAAAGCAGGCAAACCCATTCAAGGCCCCCTTAGCCCAACATCAAGAGGACGCTGTCTGCTCCTGTAATGGTCGGCAGTCTGGGAAACCCAGCGCAGGGTCTCTGGGCATGGGGACTGATTCAACTGTTGTGGGTTTGGTTTCTTGTCATACCACGCACAGGACCCCTGGTGACACAGTGGTCAAAGCGCTTAACTGCTGACCTAGAGGTCAGGCTTCAAGGCCGCCAGCTGTTGTGCGGGAGAAAGACGTGGCAGTTTGCTTTCACAGAGATGGACAGCCCTGGGACCTCTCTGGGCATTTCCACTCTGTCCTGCTAGACTTGGCAGCTCTGGGTCACAGTGTGTGCAGGGTGCTGGGTGCTGTCCCAAGTGCGTGTGCCTCTATTAACTTGCAGGACCCTTTCAAACCTTATGGAGTAGGCTTGCCACACCACCCATTTTATAACGGAGGGCCCTGGGTCCCCAAGAGGACAAATAAGTTGCCCCAAGTCACACAGGTTTGGGGACGCAGAGCTGGGGTTTGAACCCAGGACGTCTGTCTCTAGGGTTTGTGATCGAGTCTATCACTGAGTGAGTGACTGGGCCACTCAGCTGCAGTGCCCTTGTTAGCATTTGTGTGGATGATTGCGTTGCGACAAATGACAGCCCTGAACTTGCTCAATGAGTGTGATTTCAATGAGGGACTCTGTGGGTGGGAGGCACCCAGAGGCCAGAAATACTGCAATGCATGTGCAGACAAAACTTCTGACAGACACATCACGCTTGTCGGGCCCCCGAGGGAGCTTTGGCTCCCCCCTTCCCTACTTCTTCTCCAGGGCTTCTCCATCTCAGTAAACAGCGTCTCCTCCAACCCAGCACCTGCGCGCCCCCTTGACTCCTCTCTTCCATCCAGCCCATCAGCAAGCCCTGACCGCTGTGCCCACAAACCCTTGCTGCCACTTCTCTCGGTCTGCCCTATCACACCACCTGGCTGTAGGTAGCTGCCTCCCCTGGGGCCGGCCTGCCCTGTGGAGGCTCCTGTACTTTATTTCCCTCGGACACATCTTTCCACGAGGATGCTCTGCCTATGGAGACCCCTGGTTTTACTGGCCCCTCCCGACCTTCTCAGATTCGTCACCCGCTCTTCTCTTGGCTGCATCCTTTCTCGTGACCACACTGCCCCTCGTTCCATTCTGGGAGGTGTCAAGTCCCCCGAGATCTTGTCCTTGGAACTTTTCTCCCTGAGTCAGCTGTCCTTGGCTTGGTCCTGATGGAGCGCTTGCTCTGTAAGCTGTGTGGGAAGTGGACTTGTTCCCTCACAGGCTCCTAGCCGGATGCAAACCACCAACCTTTCAGTTAGCAGCCAAACATGTTGACTTTTGCGCGCGCACACACCCACCCACCCCACCCCATTGCATGGATTCCGACTCAGAGTGGCCTTTGGGACAGAGTAGAACTGCTCCAAAGTGTTCCCAAGGCCCTAAAGCTCGACGGAAGCGGACCTTCCTGTAAAGGCCACTTCATCTTCTCCTGCCGAGCGGCTGACGGGTTCCCAGCCCCAGGTTTGGCTCACTGCACCCCAGGGTTTGGCATCTCAGGGGTCTCTTTTTTCATCCCCTCCCTCCTCCTGTTCTTTCTTTGTCTGACCTTAGTCTTGTCTCTCTGGTAATCGTTCTGGTTCACATTCCGCGGCCCACTCTGTCTCAAACGGCCTCGCTCACGGCATCTCCTGCTCCTTGTTTTGTCTCCTTGGGCGCACTCACTGCCACCTGAGTTATTGCTACTTTGAGAGGTTTGACATCCTGCAAAATGGACGAAGACCACGAGAGCGATTGTCCCCATGACTCATCTCCATACCCAGCTCCTCCTCTGGCGTCTAGGGGCCCTGGTGGCATAGTGGTTATGTGGTGGGCTGTTAGCAGCAGGATCAGAGGTTCAAAACCACCAGCTGCTCTACAGGAGAAAGACGAGGCTTTCTACTCCCATGACAGTCTTGGAAACCCACAGGGGTCAGTCTCCCCTGTCTTGTGGGGTCACTGTGAGTCAGCATTGACTGATGGCAGCGAGTTTGGGTTGGTTTAGATTCCGGTGTTGGGTGGGTGGGAGGCATCCAATGAACAATTGCTGGAGGAAGAGTGATCTTTATGGGCTGGGGCTAGGATTCTGGGAACAGACCCATGATCACCAGCCCCCGGGTTCCACAGGCTGGAAACGTTTCCCCATCTGGACCTCAGTTTCCCTAGCCAGGAAGGGAGGGTGTGGTGGTCTAGAGGAAAGCTACGTGAGCCCTGTGGGTCACTGAATGTGAAGGTCAACAGTGACAGCTTAGGAGCAGGCAGCAGCCAACAGCTCATCCCAAACCGGATGCATCACAAAGCCGAGGTGTTTCTGCAGCGCTTGCTCGAGCTGCAGCTGTCTTGGATGAGAAGGGGCCATCGGTGGGGAGAGTGTAAGAAGGTCCCCTCTGGAGGGTCCCAGGGCTGCTTTGTCATTCTGGACCTGGGGTGCTCTGGCACCTGCACCCCATCTCTGTTTTGACCTTATGTCCTCTGCTTGCTCTCAGGGCAGTGTTGGACACGCAGGGCCAGCTGGCAGTCCGGTGAGTGTGCTTGGAGGGCAGTGGCTCAGGGTGGAAGGACAAGGAGCGGGGGTGTCCAGTACCAGGGAGTGGGTAGGCTGGGGCTGCGCTCAGCGCTGCCTAGAAGGTGTCAGGGCGTCAGCATGGCATCTTCTCATGCAGGGCCTGCCAGGGTCGGTGGGAGCCGCAGGCACCAAAGGCGAGAAGGTGAGTCTGGGAGGCTGTCCACACGGCAGTCAGGGTGAGCCCATCTCGCTGCACCTCCCGCCCCCTGAGGTTCACCGCTGTCTGGAGGATACTTGGTGCGGAAGACCCCCAAGCATTTGGCCTCCACCTGTGTCCCTCACCCTTTCTCCCTACTCTCTCACGGGATGCCCCCCAGACCCACCAGGTGCCTCTAGCACCAGCCTCTGATTGTAAACCTGGTGCTGGCGCTCCCCTCACCTCGGGCCATTGCTCGGCAGGGCGAGCCTTGTGGACCGTGTGCAGCCTTATCCAAGCCCCAGAATGGAGATGACCATGTGGTGGGCCTGCCTGGCCCGTCCGGAGAGAAGGGGGAGCCTGGGCCTCCGGGCCTCGGCCTGCCAGGAAAACCGGTGAGTCAGCACTTCTAGAACTGGGGAGCAGGAGGTCTTACCTGGGTTCAGGAAAGTGGAGTGTGGAGAGGGTCAATGCCCGGGACACAGCCTGGTAGAGTAGACGCAAAGAACATCCACTTGGGGGAGGCAGTCCCGGGCAGCTTCCAGCTCTGCCTTTGACCAGCTCTCTACCTGGAGCCTCTGTTTCTTATACATGGTGTTGTTATAAAACTTCCCAAAGACAAGTCACTCTAGTTAGCACTGTGGTTATTGTCATTATTGCTTTAATAGCAGTGAACATGGTAGCGCTGACGGCTAAGTGTTGGGCTGCTGACCACAAGGCTGGTGGTTCAAACCCACCAACTGCTCTGAGAGAGACAGAGGAGGCTGTCTATTCCTTCCCAGCTTCAGAAACCCTACATGGTGTGGGAGAGGCTAGAGGAATGCCCTTCATCAGGATAATGAGGATGCATTTAAAGTGAACCAGGGACATAAAGAAACCATAGATAGATAAATGGCGTCTGGGCTCACACTCGAAGGTGACCCTTGTCTCAGAGCAGTTGGTTTGTATGACGTGGCCCTGCTTAGTCACCTGCTCCCACGAGGTGGTCACGAAGAAGTGGATACAATAGCAGGGTGTGGTGAGGAAGGCAGACGGTGCCCAGTGGCTGTCCGAAAGAGTGGTGTCGAGGGACCTGGAGGCTTGTCTTAAAATGGGCAGCCATCTAAGTGAGGCGTCAGCTGGGTCCACATGGGAACATAAGAATTGTAAATAATAAAATCCAAACCCGGAGGAGGGATGGGTCTGAGAGTTTAGCTGCTGAACAACTGGGTTGTAGACGGTGAAGGTGAGAGCCGGGACCCCATTCGCTGGGTGCCCCGTGCAGATTGAGCCTCTGGTGCACCCCTCTGACTATGGGCCAGGGATGACCAGACAGAGCACGCTGTGGGTCGCTGGCTGCAGTGCGGTTGGGTGAAGCTGTGGCTCCCTGTCCGGCACTTTCCCTCTGGATCCAACGGATGAGCTCTTCCAGCTTTCAGCCTTTTCTGCTTTGTCTTCAGTGAGGGTCCTTTCTGTTTTCCTTCGGACATTGTTGGTGGGCCGTTTGTGTTTTGCCTGTTTCTGCCTATGAAACCCAGGATCGGTGCACCTATAGAGACCGCAACTGGATCGATCATTTCAAAGGGACATGGTGGGGGTGGGGGTGCGGGTGGGGGTGGGGGGATGGAGAGCTCACCGTGAGCTCAAGGAAGAAGAAGCGGCCCCCGAGTCTGGGATGGTTGCACAACCTCATGAATAGTCCTGAACTGTTGCACGTATGATTTGTGAGTTGTATGTTGGTAAAACTGTTAAAAATGAATAAACGAATTAATTTTAAAAAACAAAAACTAACCCTACAGAGAGGGTGGGTCCTGATGAGTCGGAATCAGCCCACCCGGCACTGCTTCCCTAGGCTCTGCACAGAGCTCCTTGTCTGTGTCCCTGTCTCCACCGGACCCCCACCTGCTGGGTGTAGCCCAGCACCTGGCTCACAGAATGCTCACAGCAGCCCTTTCTCCCCAGGGCAAGGCTGGAGATCGAGGGGTGAAGGGACAGAAGGTGAGAGAGTCTGGGTGGGGGGCCTGGGTGGGCTGTCCCAGCACCCTCCTCTCAGTCCCCCCCACCCCACATTTTTTCCTGTTAGTCCAGGGCCCTCTCCCTTCCCAGCTCCAGCCCTCCGGCCTAGAGAAGGGCTGTACATCCTGCAGGTCACCCCTCTGATGCCTACTCTTCACAGGGTGACGCCGGGAATCCTGGTGACCCCGGAACACCAGGCACCGAGGGGCAGCCAGGATTGTCTGGAGAACCTGGGGTCCGGGGGCCCCCGGGGCTGAAGGGAGAAAAGGTGAGCCAGGGCAGGGGCAGCGTGCCGAATGAGCCCAAAGGAATAAGATCAGGTGGGGCACTCAGTCAGGAATAAGATCCGGAGCGGGGCCATGAGCCTGCGGGCATGACAGGGGCACTGAGCATCCAAGTGAGGTGGGAGCAGCAGGGGCAGAGCTCACAGAGGGCACAAGGACCCCCTCTCGGCTGCCTCCTGCTGGCCCAGCAGCCCCCTCAGCTCACATGGTGGACCCATCTCTGACCAGGGTGATGGCTGCACTGCCTGCCCCGACCCACCAGGGGCAGTGCCTGGCACCTTCGGACGACCTGGACAGCCAGGCCCTAGAGGAGAGCCGGGCCCTGAAGGTGTGGGCAGGCCTGGCAAACCGGTGAGTTGGACCACCTGGTACCTGGTTCCTCCCCCTCCTGGGCCATGCCTCCATCTCCCTTCCCGCTGTGGGGACTCCCCAGGACACCTTGTGCTTTTCAGGGCCAGCCTGGTCTTCCTGGAGTTCAAGGGCCCCCGGGACTGAAGGGGATGCAGGTGGGTGTGACTCGGGGCCTGCTGGAAGGGATGTGGGCTGGAGTGATGGGGCGGTGGGCCAGGAGTGGGAAATAGAGCTGGAGAAGGAGACTGGGCCTTCAGCCCAGCTGGGGAGGTTGGGGGAGGCAGAGAGGTGGAGCTGGGGAGATGGCGGAGGGAAGGGAGCATTGAATCAGGGTTTTCCTTCTGCCGCTTCAGGGAGAGCCAGGGACTCCGGGAATGGGGGCCGAGGGGCCCCAGGTGAGTGCCCCCGCCCCAATTCGTACACTTCCATTAGCCAGCTGCTCACTGACATCTGTTCTGAAGACTGAGGTCTCTGGGCACAGCTTGGGGAAGGGTTAGCCAGCAGCCCTGCTCTGTCATTGCTCGTGCCAGGAGCAGGGGGTGGTGGAGAACCTTCGCTTTGCCCCCTCTTTGCTGGCCCTCAGGGTCTCCCTGGGAAGTTCTCTTGAGTTTGGGTTGGCAGATGCTCCTACTCCCACCCCAAGACCAGATCAACCAAGCCTGCTTGCCCAGCCTGCCCTTTCTGACTTGCAGGGTGAGCCTGGCGCCCAGGGTCTGCCTGGCATTCAGGTACGTCTGGAGGTGGGTTGGGGGGCGAGAGGGGGGCTGCTCTAGGGTAAGGGGTAACTAACTGTGCTTCCATCTGCAGGGGCCTCGGGGACCACCTGGCCCCAGTGGAGAAAAGGGTGCCAAGGTAAGCCTCTGCCCCCTTGGGCACTAGACATTCAGCGCCTCAGAGGGCCCTGTGGTGGGCGCAGGGGCCATGGGCACTAAGTGGTGTCCACTCAACTGGCCTGATGTAGCCTACTTGTCGGGTTCTCACTCGCTTCCCATGTACGTTTCTCATCCACAGGGACCTCCAGGGGTGAAAGGAGCCACTGGACCTGCAGGGCCTCCTGGTGCCAGTGCCCCTGGGCCTGCGGTAAGGGCCCTCTCTGTGTTTCCTGCCTCTGGGTGGGTGGGTGTGGGTGTGAGACAAGGCTCCCCAAGCCCCTGCTGGGAAGGGAGCACAGGGCGGGGAGCGGCCTCTACCCCGCCTCTGCTCAGAAGAGTGGGGGAGCAATAGTGATGGCCACCAGTGTCCTGAGCAGTGGTTGTGCCCAGCCTGCTGCTACACTCAGGATGCCCAGCAGCTCAGCCCCGCAGGCAATGCAGTCTGGCCCCAAGTTCATCAGCGAGGGCAGTGATGCCCGTTCGGTGAGGAAGCAGAGCCCAGCTGGCACCCAGGCCTGTCAGGAGTGTAGCCTGGATGTTAACCACCTTCCTGCCTCCGTCCTTGATGGCACCGGGGTGGTCTGCACGTGCCCTGGCAGACCAGGCTGTGTGGAGAGGGAGGCTTCGCACGGAGCCGCCCAGCAAGGTGCCCACTGGACATGGGGCTGTGGAGCACTGCGCTTCATTCTACCGTCCTCGCTCTGCACGTGAGCAGCTGTGGGTGGCTAATGGCCACCATGCTGGACAGCCCCGATCCCGCTCCATCAATTAGCCTCAGCGACCTCCTCCGTGCTGCCGTCTTCACCCAGCGATTCGCGCTGGAGGGACGAATGGCTCAGATGAAGTCGTCACACGTGCATCTATCTCCTCATCGTGAGACACCAAAGAGTTGGCTTCAGCACCCCACGAACCCACTAGAATTTTACGAGGTGATAATAATTCTAGCTCAAATCAAAGAAGTTCTACCTTCCAGCCAGCCTGTGCCTGCTGGGTCATAGGCAAATGTAACATTTTTCTTGAACTGCTTTTGGCGAGATTGAAAATTGCCCCTCACAGAGAAATTCCAGTTGGAGGGAATGATGAGGGGGTCCCCATGGTGCAGCGTGGGCAGGGACTTACCCAAGTCCACATGGCCAGTCTGTCTTGTTAACAGATCTAGGGCACCAGGATCCCTACTGATGCTAAGGGTGCCAGAGTGAAGGCAGACATGGTCTGAGCCCCCCGGCCCCCCCCCACCAGTAAGAAGGTAGAGGGACTTGCAGGATGGTGGCTTTCAGGACTCTGTCCATGCTGTCAGGCTGGCCCTTGGGACCCTTGGAGGTTCCGTGCCTTTGCTCCACCTGCTCCCCTCCAGAAATGCTCCCCAGGCCGCTTTCCTCAAGCAGAACCCCATCCGCAGGCCTTCCATGCCGGTGCTGAGCTCAACTGTCGCTGGACCTTAGGCGGCTGATGCTTCAGAGTCTGTTCCTGGCCAGTAGAACGGGACTGGCGTGTAGTCAACGGGGATGACTCCCGTGGGGGAAAGCGTGGGTGCCGAGGGCCTGGGGAGGTACAGAGGGAAGGACGAGGACAGACCTGGGCCCAGCGGGGTTCCTGGACCTTCTATAGCATGTCTTCAAGCCTCCTGGAAAATAGCAGGATACTGCTCGGCAGAGCTGGGCATGGAGCTGGCTCCGGTGTCTGCTCCCAGCAGGGCTGAAGGAATACCCAGTCTTCCTTGAACCCCCTGCCCCCTGTCTCCTCCTCTGGGGTGTGGGCATGAGGGCTCCAACTCCCCCAGGGGGCCAGGCACTGTGCCTGCTTGTCCTGTTGCCTTCTCAGAAGGCGGGCCACCCGGCTGCTGCTGTCCGTCCTTGCCCACTGATCTCACATTCTCTCCCTTCAGGGCCGTGACGGGCAGCACGGGCAGAGCGGGCCTCCGGGAACCAGAGGACTGCCAGTGAGTACCAGCATCTCCGGGCAGCTGGAAGGCACAGTTGTCCCCGTCTCCACACCCCACCCCGCTCACCCCACTGTGTTTCCTCCCTACAGGGTGAAAAGGGATCTCGGGGAGAGAAGGTGAGTCTCCAGGTCATGGGACTAAAACTCTGGGAGACTTGGCAGTCCCTGCAGCCACCCCCGGGGCACCTAGGGCAAAGGGGCACACGCATGCATCACAGTAACCGCTCTGAACTGAGCATAGGCACTGAGGAGTCATCCTGACCTCCTAACACCCACTGGCACCTTGGTTCCAGGGACCAGGGGTTCCCAGTGTCCCCCACTTTGCATAGTGGCTTTAGAGACCCAGAGATGCCAAGGCCTCTGTGCTGACAGCTGCTTGAAAGGGGATGAGCGAGACAGCTGGGCAGGACCTGACTTGGGAAGGTTGGTGCTGCCCCGGCAGAGAGGCGAAGGCAGGGAGAGGAGGGTGTGGAAGCCAGGCTGGACCCAGGGCAGAGGGGCTGCAGCCCGGTGGCGCTGGGAGCACCAAGGCAGGAGTACCGGTGCGCAGCCACGGGGGCTGACATGGGAAGCTGGCAGGGCGGTGCTGTCTGTTGCCGAGTGCATGCTGCACACGTGGCAGGAGCTCTGGAAGCAGCCATCCTGTCATCTCCCCAGCCGTCTGTGTTTTTGGTATTACTAGCTCCGTTTTACAGGAGCCCTGGTGACACTCTGGGCTGCTAGTCTCAAGGTCAGCAGTTCGAAACCACCAGCCGCTTCTCAGGAGACAGGTGGGGCTGGCTACGCCCGGAAAGGGTTCTAGTCTCAGAACCCCCAGGGGCAATGCTGCTTTGTCCTGTGGTCTCACTGCGGTCACATCGCCTCCCTGGCAGTGATTGAGAGCCCTGTTTTACGGATGAGCAGGCTGAGGTTGCGAGGGGCTGACCAGATTGCCTCTCACTCCAGCTGTTGTCTTTTCAGGGGGAAGCCGGGGAGTGCTCCTGCCCCTCTCGGGGAGACCCCGTCTTCTCAGGCATGCCGGTGAGTGGTACTGAGAGTCCCACCCCCAGCAGGGGGAGAGGCCCAGCTTCCTGCTGTGGTGCCCAGGGCCCCGCTGGGCTCTGCGCTGTAGCCAGCTGCCTCCCACGCCGCCTGCCCTGCGCTTGGTGTGGACGTTGCCTATAACCTCTCCCCTTCTTTTGCGACCCCCACTCCCACCCAGGGTGCTCCGGGACTTTGGATGGGCAGCTCGTGGCAGCCGGGTCCGCAGGTGTGTGTCGCTTGTCCCTCTGTCTCTCCTCTGTGTCCGCCAGCGCTCCGCGGCTAGCCCGGCCCACTCAGCTGCCCCTCAAGGGGCAGAGCGCCCTTCTGGGTCTGATTTCCCCCCTTCTCCCTCAGGGCCCCCCTGGCGTTCCTGGACCACCAGGCCCTCCTGGAATGCCTGGCCTGCAGGTAAGGGGAACCGGGAGTCGGGGAGGCTCCTCCCACTGGGCTTTCAGGTGCTGCTCTTATGCCCTGGCCACTGCCCCGTGCCCCCGTCCACTCCCTGGGCTCCTGGGCCCCGGTGTGGCCTGGAGGGCCTTCCGATCTCTTTGAGGCGGTCTGTGTGCACCCCCAGCACCTCTTCAAAGAGGCCCTGACCTGTGCTGGCAGAGGCACCCCACTGACAGGATCACGCTCGGGCTGGGGCCAGCTGTCAGGAGCCCCGAATCTGGGTCAGACAGCAAACGTTTGTGTGCACCTGCTCTTCTCCAGCCCCGGCCGCAGGTGCTGGGGATGCAGCCGTGGGCCAGCAACCCCTGCTCTCTGTGAGCGGGCGGCCCAGTAGGCAAGACCTGCCGTCGAGAAGGTCAATACCTAAGAAGAGGCGCCGTGCGTTAGGGAGCCGTCAGCGCTGGGCAGAGTAAAGCAGGGGCCAGGGATTAAAGATTGAGGGGTGCAAGAAAGAGGGGGTTTGAGGACAAGAAAGTGCCGTTTGAATCAAGCCTTGAAGGTGATGAGGAGTGAGCGAGCCTGTGACTATCTGCAGGGAGGACATCCCTGGCAGAGGGAACTGCAGGGGCAGAGGCCCCGAGGCAGGGGTGTGGAGGAGACTGGAAAGGAGGCCAGCGACAGAGCGGGCAGAGGAGTGGGCATTGAGATCCGCGTGGCAGATCTGTGTGGCGTTGAGGTCCGTGTGGCAGGGTGACCAGAGCCCGGTGACTTGAACCTGAGTCTTGGCCGGGCTGTGCTGTGCGATACCTGCCTGATGTTGGACCATTGCTTCCCATCTCTCTGCCCACCTGTCTTTATCCCTCAGTGGAGATAAGGGCTGTATCTACTTCATAGGGGTTGTGTGAGTATTAAACGGGTTTATCTATGCCAGTGTACAGAGCTCTTCCTGGTGGAGAGCTAAGTGCTTAGAAAGCATTAGCTATCATTACGACTACAAGTTGTTTCTGGTTATAAGCATCAGGCTTCCGAGGAGTAAAAAGTTGGGTCAATTTGTCCTCCCTTTGACGCTGAACGGACCTGGACTCTCAACCACTTTGTCATCTCCAGCTCGCTCCCTTGCTGGGCAGGCAGCTTTTAAATCAGTGAAAACGCGTCACACCTAAAACCCACTGCCATCGATTCCAACTCTTAGCAGCCCCGGAGGACAGGGCAGGACTGCCCCCTTCGGGTCCCTGAGGCGGTAAATCTTTATGGGAGCAGACAGCTGGTGGATTTGACCTGCCGACCTTGTGGCCTGGTTCTCTAGCCACCAGGGCTCCTTTCAGGTGCGAAAATTCTAAAAACCAAATTTCCTGGCATCAAGTCAATTCCGACTTTTCGCGACCCCATAGAACAGAGTAGAACTGCCCAGGTGGGTAACTCTTTATGGGAATAGAATGCCCCATCCTCCTCTGAAGGACCGGCTGGTGGTTCTGAACTGCTGACCTTGCAGTTAGCAGCCCACCTTGTAAACACTATGCCACTGGGATTCCTCTTGCACTAAAGGAACCCACGATGAGAGCTCTATGCACCTATTCCAACATATCTACAAGTTCAACGTAAAGACACTCTGAGGAAAGGGTCTTCTTTGTAACACGGGGACTGCCTGTACCTGTATAACTCTAACTGTTATACATCCCGTCTTCATGATTGAACCTTAGCACATCAACCTCAATGGGAAGGTTGTGCTGTGAGAGTTGAAACATCTTGTCCCAGGTCGTCTGGCTAGGATGCTTGGCGCTGGATTGCGGGGAGGAGGAGAGGGTCCTCTAGGAAGGGCACTGCCCACTGACTTCCACTGCCTTCCAAGTCACAGTCGTCCCTGTAGTCCTGGGCCCCCACAGATAGTGACTCTGGGTGTTAGTTCCCAGCCTGGAGGAGGGGGAAGGAAGCAGAGCAGAATCACAGGAAGGCGTTTTACACCCAGCCCTCCTCGACCCCAAAGGCTCCACACATCCACCCACGTCTGCTACAGACCCTGCGTGCCACCGCGGGTGACATCTGCTCTGGGTGCCACCGTTGCTGACAGGGTAGACGGACCACACTTCCCTGGCCCGTACTCCCGACACTGCCATCCACGTAATCCTTTTCACAGATAGGAGATGGAGGCACGCCGGTTAAAAAACCAGCCTGAAGTAGATAGCCAGTGGGCAGTTACGCTTGGGTTTAAAGTCAGGGGATTTGGCTCCAACTACTACAAAGCCTGAGGCTGCTGAACCTAGGGGTGCCGAGAAAGAAAAGGCCCTGTGAGCAGCCAAGAGGACTCTCTGAAACCCCACCCCCACCCCCGGGGTCACTGTGAATTGTACAGAAATAGCCGATAATCATGAATGCGCTCACAGTGGTTTTCTGGAGCTGGCCACTGCGCTGAGCACAGAATCTTGTAAGACAGAGCTCTTGCAGGGCTGGACAGAGTGGCTGCCTCCAGGTCTGACTCAGGCCTGAGGCCATCTGGCCTGAACTCAGGGACCTGGTGGTGGCTGCACCGCGTCTGCTGAGAGCTGAGACTGGGACTTGGCAGAGAGGGGGAGCAGCGGAGTGGAGCGGTCCCCCACCTTGTGTTTAACTGCTGCTGCTACTCCACCGTGGTGTCTTCTCGGTGGGCACTAGGGGATGAAAAACGGAGTGCACTCCCTGCCTCCTCAGTGGAGTATTTAGTATGCAAATGCCATTGTGAATCTCCCAGGGGATGAGAGTCTTCAGGCAAGCACCCAGCCAGCGAGTCCCAGGCGCCGGCTCTGTACTAAGCTCTTTTCCAACCTTATCTCCTTTAAGCTGGGCACTGTTTGGCAGATCAGGAAACTGAGGCACAGTTTTGCTTTTTACTTAAAAAACAAACAACAACAAAAAAAACAGCCGCCAAACGTTCACCACAACTACCAGCTCCTGTGGAGACGATCCCCATGTGCCTGTGCCAGAGTAGAACCGAGTCCATGGAGTCTCCAATGCAGGGACCTTGTGGGAGTCGTTCACCAGGCCTTTCTTCCAAGGCACCTCTGGGTGGACTGGAACCTTCCCACCTTGTGGCTGGCCGGGTGACCTCTGTACCAGTCGTTGCCTCCAGACACAGTCTACTGGTGGTCGGGCTTTGCACCTTGACGGGTGGGCCTGCTTCCAGAGGCGCCCCCTGCTTGCCGAAGGCATGGATGTTCTGGAAGTGGTGGTTGAGAGAGGGGCTGGGAGCCATCCAGCCTGACCCTGAGTCTCAGCTCCGTGCTCTGCTCTGCCTGGGACTGTTGGCAAGTTACTGGCCCTTGCCGAGTTCTTTTTTCCCATTTTAAGATGGAGCTAAGGGCCCCTTGCTCGCCGAAATAACTGTGGATGATTCAGTGAGGACACTCAGGGACGAGGCCGCGTGCGTGCGCATGTGCACACAGAGACATGCTCACTAGCTACCGGTCGGCGGGCACACATCGGGGATGGGATGCTTGGGCTCCTACGCAGAGCACCGCAGTAAGGCGCGGTAGCGCTGCCCAGTGGTTGTGACTCTGGGGTGGGGGTGGGGGATGCCCACACTAGCCTGCAGGCTGTGCAGTGTGCAGTGTGCAGTGACGGGATGAAGGCATTTGACATGTGCTGAGAGTGACCTCAAAGAAACACTGAGACAGGCAGTGGGCACAGGCTGTCGGAGAAGTGCCACCTGTGGACTTGCTCGACAGAGCCTTGCCACAGGCGTGTGTTGGTTAAAAAAAAAACCACTGCTTGCAAAGCACAATCAAGCCAGGTATGCCCATATATGGAAGACTCTCTGCTCCGGTTCCCCTGACTTGTGCAGGGGGCGGTATGCCCTGTTCTGTTGGTTTAGGGGTCACCCCCTGGGCCTCCTGGACTTCCCCATCACAAGGGTCCCGAGGCTTTCTTTCAGGCTGAGGTCGGGCATCAGCAGGGTGACAAGAAGGGTACAGGGTGGCCAGGGGGCTGGAGAGCGGAGTCCACTGACTTGTGTCTCTCCTTGGCTGCAGGGAATGCCCGGAAACAATGGTTTGCCGGGACAGCCGGGGCTATCAGAACTGGTAGGTACCAGCCAGGCCTCCGGTGCCCATCCAGACCACCCTTCCCAGGGCTGCGCTTGCCTGGGGACAACTTACCCTGCAGGGGGAGCGGGCTCTGCTGAGAGAAGTGGGGATGGCTCCCTGCACCCAGAGGTCTCCCCCTGCCCCTTTCAAACCCCGCCTGTGCCCACACACCTCTCTCAGGAGGCCTTGCACAAAGATGCTCAGGTTAGAGGGCCAGGGAGAACGAGCGAGCGGGAGGTGGGAGGAGGCGGTTCTCCTTAGAAATGCTCAGCTGTGTGGTACCTACAGAGAGCTCCCTGGCACTGGCCTCTAGCTGGGAGGGCTATAACTGGCCGCACTCAATACCTGCGGAGTGGTTGAACACCCCTTCATGGGGGGATGGTGGGGTGGTGGTGGTGGTGGTATGCGTTCAGCAAAATCCAACCCAGAAAATGGCCCATGGCAGCTGGAGGTGAGGCCCAAATAGGTCAGGCCTGCAGCGAGCCCCAGCAGGGCCCAGCAGCTTCCACAGGAGGGAGGTGAGGATGCAGGCACCCCAGGGAGGACGGGGGCTGAGAAGGTAGGTTAGATGAAGAGACGGAGCAAGGCCTAGAAGAAGGTTTCAGCCCACCTCTGGTGGGTCCAGAATGAATCTCGGGAGAAAGGGGGTTGGGGAAGCAATTCCAATGGTGTGGGGAAGTGAGAGAGTTGGCCCGTGCCCAGGCCTACACACAGACAGCGTCAGGACCAGATGAGAGGGGGCAGCCTGGTCTGGGGTCCCAAGCTGACCAAGGGCCGCATAACCCTTTCCCACTCCCCTTCCTCACTCACTGACTTCTGGCGAGGAGAGCCCAGTAACCCTGCCTTCAGATACTCTCATGTCCCTGCAGCGCAGCCTCCTCCAGGTGCCCCTCCCCAACCTCCGCCATTGTCCCGAGAGACTCCTGCCCTGGCCGCCCTCTTCTGGCACTGGGCTAGTCAGTGCTGGGGACATCCTGCCCTCCCGATGGGTCCTGGGCTGGGCAGGTGATTTCTGGAAGTGGCAGATGTTTCCAGAAGCAACCCGAGATTTGGGTGAAGCGGGCAGCAGTTACAGGATGGGTCACAATGGGTTGTGACAGCGGAGCCCCAGTTCTCCTCCCTGAGGGTTCCCCCAAGCCCCCGCCCCTGGGCAGATAGCCGCTTGACCGCAGATGCAGAAGTGACTTTTCTCCCAGCCGCATTTCACCTGCTGGCTTCTAACCCAAGTGCTCCGCATTGGGGGAGGGGGGGGGGCATCCAGAGCTCCAGGCAGCACAGGTGGCTCTACCCTCGGCCCTGCCCAGGGGCCTGGCTTCGTGGAGAGAGTTGGGCTCTGACCTCTCACCGGCCAGACTTTGGTCCGGGCTCCCACTCACCCCAGACCAGTCCCTCCTCTCCAGTGCGTGTTCAGGGTGGTCTGCACTGGCTGGGAGATTGGACACGGGCCTGGTTCAGTACCTGGCACATGGTGCCGAGGACATGACAGCCACTGTCACTGTGCTTTGCTGGTGAACTGTGAAGGGTCTGGTGGTGGTGCCCGCCATGGGTCCACCGACACCCTGCTAGTCATGGGTAGACTCCAGCCCACCCCACACGCTCCCAGCCCCCAAGTTCTCTGGATATAGGCCAGTGTTTATCAGTTGGGTCCACCGTTTGATCAAACTCAGAGGGGTCTGTTAAAACCCAGGGGAGGAGGATCCTGGCCCAAGCTGCCCAGCAAGGCAGAGCAGTGGAGGGAGAGCGGGTCCCCTCCCAGGGAACGTCTGCAAAGTGCTTGGCTCCTCCGGCAGGCAGCGGTTTCCTCTGTCCCTTGGGCAGAGAAGCTGGCGTTTGGAGCCTGCCTTTCCAGGCCAGCTTCTCGTTGCTTGTCCTCGCAGTGGGTGCAGGTTGCAGGAACAGCCGGGACAGATGGTCCCTCTGCAGGCCCCTCCACCCACCACCGCCTCCCACACGCCTGTCTGGGAAAGAAAGTGGCTTTGGCTGGGCTGGGCCCAAGCTGCTTCTTGGAGGAAGCTCAACGCTAGTTGTTGGGACTGGGTCCCCTGAGGGTGGAGTGAAGGTTGCTGCAGGACTGGAGTCTGGGAGAGAGAGATGGGGGGCGGGGGGGCGGGGTTGGTGTGGGGACTGCTGGACCCGCTGCCCTGGCTCTGGGGTCAGTTGTGTCCCCCCAGCCGGCCCATCCTCACCTTCTCTGACCATGCCTCACAGCCCTCCCCTTTCTCACACCAGGGCATCTGCGGGAACTGCGCCCAGGGACAGACTGGCCACTCGGTGTCCATCCTGGAGAAAGGGGAGAAGGGAGACCAGGGCACCCCTGGAGTGCCCGGCCTAGACAACTGTGCTCGGGTAAGGGCTGCGCTGGGCCAGCCTTGCTGTGTGTGGGGGAGGGGGGGCTCCCTGGGTTCCCGTCCTGACAACCCTTTCACGGACACCCCCACCTCCACCCCCAGTGCTTCATGGAGCGGGAGCGCCCAAGAGCAGAGGAGGCTCGGGTGAGTGGGCCCCTTGCCCTATCTTTGACCTTTGGCCCTGACCTGCACTCCATATGTTGGGGCCCCTGGCTGCTCCCTCTCACCATCTCCATCCCGACTCCAGGGAGACACCAGTGAGGGAGAGCCAGGCTGTGCTGGGAGCCCCGGCCTGCCGGGCCCTCCGGGTCTGCCGGGCCAGAGAGGAGAAGAGGTAAGACCCCAGGCAGGATGCCCGGGGCTGGGGGCCTCCGCTTCCACCACCCTCAGGTACCTGAAAGCCAGTCCCCTCTGCTGGAAGTGTCTTAGTGGCTGTCAAGGCCTTGTTGGGGCCAGCCCCGTCCCATCCTTCGCACTGTGACCTCCTCCCTGCTCTGGATACCCAGAATCCTCTTCCTCCATGGCCTGGCTGCTTCTGCAGCCTGGGACCCGCTTCTCTGAGACTCTTCCCTCTTTACCTCTTTGCCCCAATGTCCCCTGCTCAGCAAGGCCTTCCTGATCCTCCTCCGGAACACCTCCCACCCACCCCCTCATGAGGACCCAGCCCGTTTCCTGCTCTTTCTCACCACCCACGGAATTCCTGGGGGGCAGCCCATGGGTGTCTGCTGGGCACGCCCACCATGGGCCAGCCTTCTCCTGGAAGGGCAGCTTCTCGGGCCGAGAGTTCTGATGGGTCCTGCCCGTGGCTGTCCTCCAGCACCTGGCCACACTGACTGCTTGGCGAGTGCTCCCTGCACAACCACAGGAATGGACGGAAGGCTGCTTCCGCACCATGGTCCTGCATCGACGTCAGCCACCTCTGTTAGCCACGGGTGTATGGAGCAGGCGGGAAGACCGAGCCCCTTCACCACATCTCCCCTGGCTTCCTTTGCAGGGTCCGCCTGGAATGAGGGGCTCCCCGGGTCCTCCAGGCCCTATTGTGAGTATTTGAGGCTCCCTGGCCGGCTTGTGCAGCTCTCAAAGGGCGGGGGGCTGAACCCAGGCTGCCCTGCCTCGGCCCCAGGAAGCTGGGCACGGCCGAAGGAGGGAACGTCCTCTGCCCGCCATGGCACCTGCTCTGCTCTGCCGGCCCTCAGTGACCCTGCTGTGGGGAGGTCCTCAGGGACTGGTGGTCACTTCCCACTGCTGCCCCAGGACCTGCTGTGTTTGCACAGGGGGCCCAGGCCATCCTGGGCAGCAGGGCGTAGGCACCGGGCTCATGAACTCAGCAGCCAGGGAAGCTTGGGGCAGCCTGGCTAGTTCTTTTCCTGTGCCAGCGACACCAGGCCTGCTGGGCCTAGGGGCTGAGATGGACACCTGCCCTCCATTGCTCCGGAGGTCTACAAAGGTCTCTAGGGCGGGTCTACAAAGAGCAGCCCAGGAGTGTCAGACCAGGGCGTCTGCCCTGCAGTGCTCTGTGGGCAAGGCTGGGAAGGACGGAAGAGTTAGACATGCCTCCCGTGGAGGGTCAGGGCTGGTGAGAGCGTCTTCCCGCCCTCTGCACGCCGGTCAGGTGACAGGCCTGATGGATGGCACAGAAAGCAGTGGGCATCCCCCTGCAGCCAGGGTCTCTGGCCACACACCAGCTGCAGAAGCACTGACTTGAGCAGGGGTCCTTCTCTGCTGACCGCCTTCCTTCCTGGGCCACGTGGGGGCATGGAGATCTTCTGGGCCACCCTCGCCATCTCTTTGCCAGCTTCGTTGAAAATAGTCCAAGAGCTCCTCTCGCCGTGAGCCCCCCACTCCCACCTGCCTGCCCCAGGTGCTGTGCTGGTGAGATGTGACCTGCCTGTTTCTCCCCCCCAGGGCCCCCCAGGTTTTCCTGGTGCCGTTGGCTCCCCCGGATTGCCTGTAAGCACCTAGCGCTCCCCTGCCGGCCAGGTTTCTGTGGCTTTTTTGTGTCTCACCCCTCTTGTGCCCTCATCTCCCTCCTTCATGTGTCTCCTTGTCCCCCCATCCCCACCCAGGCACAGTGGCTCACGACACAGGATGTTCGCCCAGCCTCCGACTTCTTCCCGTTTCCTCCTCTCTCATCTCCTGCTATCTTTCATGCTCCCCCCGCCCCCTCTAGTTTTCCTTTCTCTCCTGCAGGTCCACAATCCCACATCATCCCCCCTAAATCCTCCCGAGCCCCTTTACCTTCTTATTTGAAGCGGATGTCTCTCGGGGGTCTGGGGCACCTTTATTCTGCTCTTCTCCCTTCCCTCACCTTCGGTGTTGACAGAAGATTTGCTGAAAGTCATTCTTGGGGCCCTGCCAGGCAACTGGCCCAGAGCCCGGCAGAGATGCCAAGGCTTTAGGGTTTCACACTGCAGGCTGGCATGGGTCCGGTGCCCTGCCACTTGGCAGGGCTGGCCTGAGGCACCCCGGGCAGCCCTGCTGACCTTTCCCGTCATCCTTGAGGAAACACTCAACTTCCTTCTCCTCCTCGTCTCCTCTTCCTGGGTTCCACCCCAGTCTGCTCTACCGCTGGGCACGGGGTACCAGCCAGCAGGCCTTTGGAGTGTCGTGGGGCCCTACCCCTCTGTGCCTGGTCCCTCCCGGCAGTGCCACTCATTGCTCTGCCTTCGTCATCGTCACCGGTGTAAACTCTCCCCTGTCCGCCCTGTTGGTCCCTTGTGGTACGCAGAAACTAACCCTCTGTTTGTTGGGTTGCGTCCCCCATGGCCTGGCTCCTCTCCTCCCAGGCTTGTGGAAGGAGGCCAGGGAGCAGGGCCCGTCCTCGTCACCGCTCCATCTGTCCCCATGTCCTCGTCTCCGGTGGGACCGTGTCTGTTTCTGCTTGCTTGGGTGAAGGGGCCGTCTGTCTGTCTAGCCATCTGTCTGTCACCGTGGAGAGGTGTGAGGGCAGGCTTGGTGGGCTCCGTGGTGTCATGAACCAGCGAGGCTGGGGGGAGGAGTGAGGGGCCCTGGTCCTATGGAAATTGGGGTCCCCTGCACTCTGCAAAGAGACAGGGACTGGCTCCCCCTCATCCTCTGAAGAAGATGTGTTTGGGGTTTGGGGGTGGCGTGGCCAGGTAAGTAAGTGTTGGATATCTGGTGGTACATTTTGGTGGGGAGCATCACTGTGGGGGCACCTATCCTGACAGTTGATTCTCAGGGGGGGCACGCATCTGTCACCCTCGTAAAGGTGCACTCCAGATAGTAACCAGGATAGCACATGCCAACCCTGCCAGAGACATACACGCTCTGAGAGTCGCCCCCTGGGTGCCATATACCAGCTGGGGAGTAATCTGGGAAGTGTTCCCGTGCTGGGACTTAAACTTCAGCCAGTCACTTTGCTGGTCCCCACCCTGAGTGGTCACCTTGCCGGGGGCCTCAAGAGCCGCCAGCAACCACCACTTTTTCCTAGACTGGAAACAGGCCAGGGGAAGGAGTCGGGCTGGACAGGGACTGTCCACCTGCAGTTTCTCATGAGCTTTCTCTCCCAGGGTCTTCAAGGAGAGCGAGGCCTCAGGGGCCTGACAGGAGACAAGGGGGAACTGGTAAGAAGGGGGCTGGGAGACAGGCCTGAAGCCCCTGGGGGCAGGGGTGCAGAGTGGTACATGGGTAGGCTCCCTGGGCCCCCCTCAGGCCTGATTCTCTCAGGATGGGAGGAGCCTGCTCTCCATGCGCCCCATTCCCTGCCACCTGCCCTCCCCACCCCCCACCCCGCAGTGGTCACTGGCCTCTCTCTCCCCTGCCCTCTGCCTTTTCCCCCACTCAGCCACGGGGCTGCTGGGGTGCTCATGGATGAGGAACTTGGGGTTTGGGGACATGGACCAAGCCAGTGACTGTACTGGGGTGGGGGCACCTGCTGCTGGCAGCACCCCGTATTCTGACTGTGACATCCTTCTCCTCTATGGTTGTGTTTGTGGGAGCAGACCTATGGTTATGTGTGTTCGGCGGTGGGGGGGGAGTTGCATAGGGGGAGGTGTACTATGGATGGGGATAAGGGTACTGGGGGAGGCAGTGGCCATTTTTCTTGTTTTTCTTTGCAGGGCCCTCCAGGACAGCCTGGTTACCCAGGCGCCATGGGCCCCCCGGGACTGCCTGTGAGTAAGGGCTCCTGGCCCTGGCCCGTTGGAGCCTTGGGGCAGGGGTTGGGATGGGACCTGGCTTGGGGATCCATCAGCAGGCACCCTCCAAGCACACCTCCCTTTTCCCAAGCACTTCTACCCCATCCTGGGGGTCCCCGTGCTATAGCATGGCCTGACCCCACTACTCCACACTGGGGGGCTCACCCCATCTCCAGCCCCTGCACATCTAGGACCAGACTCTCCCAGTGCCCCAGGAGGCCCAGGTGCAGAGAAAGCAGTACTGTTTCCTGGGAGCGGCTGGGAGAGTTGGGGAGGTAGTGTGGAGGCACCACCCTCCGGTGAGCCCCCTGGGTGGGGGCGTCTTGGCGCCCACTGAGGCCACAGTGGCAGCAGGAGGGACCACAGCGCTGTGCTCAGAGGAGCCCCTGTTGCCCCTCCCAGCTTCTTCCTCAGTGTCATCTGTCTCCGTGTGCCAGCTGCAGTCTCCACCCCTGGCATTAGCGACGTCCTCCACCCCCTGGGAAGGGCAGGCCACGGCTAATGCTGCTCCCTCTCTGCTTGCTTGTCAGGGCATCAAGGGGGAGCGGGGCTACACTGGGCCGGCCGGAGAGAAGGGAGAGTCGGTGAGTGTGAGCCGCAGCTCTGCAGGAAGGGCTTCAAAGGGAGTGCAGCCTGCAGACTCTCCTACCTGGACCCCTGCTTCCCTGTGTCCGCCCCCACCCCCACCCCCCAGTTGCTCCAGCTGTGTCTCAAGCAGGCTGGTTGCTGCTGAGGCAGAAGCTGCTGGGAGAATCCCAGCAGGTTCAAGGAGTCAGGCTGGCCCCACTGCCGAGTTGGGAGAGGAGCGTGGAGGGCGGGGGCGGGAGTCAGCTGGCAAAGAACCTCCTCCTCCTGCAAAGGCAAGCTGGTGGGCAGGCTGGGCCAGCCTCTCAGGCCCACTCCACCATGACCCCCACCCCAGGGCAGACCCTCATCTTCAGTTAGCAGCTGGGAGTCTTAGCAGATGCAGCCATCCGAGGTAAAGTGGTGTGACTCACCTAAGGCCCCCAGCAGCCAGAGTCATGGAGCCTGGCCTTGAACCCACGTCCATCAGGTGATACACATGGGTTTGTCTCCAACCTGGGGTCGGCTCCATCGGGCCCAGCCTCCCCTCCCAGGAGGCTGCAGTGGCACTCAGCAATCCCAGGCCTGTGTGTATTCAGTAACAGATGCTGCATGGGAGGGGGCACCCGCTGGGTGCCAGGCTCTCCTGCAGAGGCCCCTCCAAGAGCTCACATCTTGGGATGGGGGCCTGATGGCAGATGCCGAGGGAGCAGAGTAGCTTAGGGGTGGGCCATGACCGGGTGCTATTAAATGGAGGGTCGGAAGGAGCTGAGACACAATAGGGTGGGAGAGAGAGCCCCCTGGATGTGTGTCCCGGGAACTCCCAGGAGGGACCAGGTGGGGCACTGTAGGAGCAGCCTGAGCCAGTGGTGGTTTGGTAAGGCCTCAGGAGACCAGCCAGGCCCGGGGAGCATGGGCGCTCCTGGCAGAGGGGCAGCATGTGCCAAGCCCCCCGAGCAAGTTCAGAGCACAGTGCAGTCTGACCAAAGGAAGGCAGAAGGGGAAAGAGGGCAGGGGGCATGCAACAGGACAGGACCATGGCGTCAGAGGACAGAACTCGGCATTAGGGGAGGGTCTGCCCCCGAAGGACCCCCAGAAGGTTCATGGGCAAAGCCGAGGGAGGGAGGGTGGGAGGATGAGAAGGAGCGTGAAGGGAGACACTCCGGAGGAGACTGGTTCACTGCTCAGGCAAGAGAAGGGAGGCCTGTGCAGACCAGGCCCGGGGTCCCACCACCCCCACCACCCACTCCCTGGCCTTCACACTCCACCAGCCTCAGAGACTGATTCTGCTGCTCTGTGTCCCCAGGGTCCCCCAGGATCTGAAGGTGTCCCAGGTCCCCAGGGCCCAGCGGTGAGTGAGGGAGTGGGCAGGGAGATGGGGCTCTCACTCCTGAGAGAAGGCAGAACTGGATGCCAGCTGTGGCCTTGTTCTCTGTGGGTGACAGGGTCCCCGAGGAGAGCGAGGACCCCAAGGCAACTCAGGAGAGAAGGGGGACCAGGTGAGTGGGTGGCTGGGGGTGGTGGTGGCAGGGAAGGGCTGGGCCCTCCGCCCTGATGGCATCCTCATGTGTGTGGTGGGCGGGGGACCAGTCTAAGCCTTTCCATCCCCACCCCACCCATCCTGGAGCTGTGACCCTCCATCTGCATGCGTTCAGAGTCTCGCCTTCTTCGGCAGAAGGGAAGGCTGGGTTTCCCTCCTTTCTAGGCCGCCTCACTCGGTCACTCTTTCCACCTGGGCAGCCAGGCAGGAGAGAGGCCAGCACAGTACACTGTCCCTTGCTTCTTCCCACAGGGATTTCAAGGCCAGCCAGGCTTTCCAGGCCCGCCGGTGAGTGGGGACACAAGGCAGACTCTGTGTGACGTAGGCCTGCTGGGGAGGGGCAGGCCAGGCTGGGTGAGGATGGGCCTGGGGAAAGGAAAGACGAAGCCAGGAGGGCAGCCTGGGTGGTGGCCAGGTCTCATTCTAGGAGCCAGGCCCTAGAGAGCAGGGCCTCCTGGGTGGGTCCCAGCCCAGCTGGCCAGGGAGCCAGGCCCAGTGGCCCTGAGGGTGTTCCTAAGAAGTCTGAGTGCGCTGAATTGGCAGTGTAACACAACGGGAGTCAGCCGGTGATGCCGCGGTTAACTGCTGGACAATTAGCCAAAAGGCCAAGGGTTTGAACCCACTCACCCTCTGAGCTTCAGAAATATGTCCTAGCTTTCTGCTTCTGTAAGGTCATAACATGGGAAGCCTTATAACCAAACACTTGGAAGGAGTGGATCGCTGGGCCTGCGGGCTCAGCACCATAGTCTCGGGGGCATTGAGGTCAATCGGCATAACATGTCCACAAACACCGAGTTCTGCACCTGGCTTGGGGGTCTTGAAAGCTTGTGGGTGGCCGTGTGAGGTGCCACTACCGGTCTCCCCTCACTGGGAGCAGAGGAGAGTAAGGAGAAGCGAGGAGGAGCAGAAACAATCTGTCCAAAGGACTCCTGGGCCACGGGAGCCCCAGCCTCGGTGGCCCTGAGACCAGAAGAACTAGCTGGTGCCAGGCTGTCACCACTGACCAGGCAGAAAGGGTTCACAGTAGGAGGTCCCAGAGAGGGCAGGAGGGACATGTAGACCCAAACTCAAAATTATACAAGAGACCAGCCTCACTGGTCCCATCCAGACTGTGGTCCTTAGACCCTGTTCACCCTGGAACTGAACTTAACCCATGACTCAGCTTTCAGCTGGACAAGTGGACAGGCCTGCACGGTGAGCAGTGACACCAGGGAGCCACGCGCTCCTTAGAAAAGCCAGCCGTCGATACAGACCCAAACATCAAACTCCCCGCCATGAGCCGATGCCAACTCATGGCGATGCTCTAGGACAGGGTCGAACTGCCCCTGTGGGTTTCCGAGACTGCAACTCTTTGCAGGAGTGGAGTCTTTCTCCTGGGGGCCTGGCTGGTTTTGAACTGCAGACCTTGCGGTTACCAGCCCAGCCTGTAACCCTTGTGCCAGAAGGCAGGAAGGGATAGAGGGGAAAGGACCAATGGAAACAGTTAACACAGGGAGGAAGTGGGGAGCGTCTGTTGCGTTGGGGGGGCTTGCAGTCAAGGTCACAAACCAAATGATGTGCATGAATTATTGAATGGAAAACCACTTTGTTCAGTAAACTTCATCCAAAAGCCACAGTAACGCAGAAAACCCGCGGAGCACTCCTGCTCTGTACGTGGCAACTCCGCGAGTCAGAATCGACTGGCCGGCACTAACGACACAAGCCTAAGAAGGAAGAAGGGGGACTACCAGCTCAACCCCCACCCTCCACACACACACCCAGTCCAATTTTATTGCCACCTGCTCCCTTGTTGATACAGGGTCCCTCTGGATTCCCAGGCAAAGCTGGAGCTCCTGGCCCACCGGGCCCCCAGGCGGAGAAGGTAAGCTGTACCCCACCATGCAGGCCAAATGCAAGATCCAAATGCAAGATCTAAGGCGAAGCCCTTGCCTCAGGCGCTTAGAGAATTGGAAGGCTGGAAGCAGGGCCTGCAGGGCAGCAGCAGGGAGGGAGCTCTGGGAGGGGGCAGCGGGAGGTAGCCAGTGCTGGGAAATGAGAACTCAGTCTGGACAGGCTGGTACAGCAGCTTCACCTCTCCAAGGGGGAGGGCCAGGAGGGAAGGACTGACCACCCACCTGGGAGCGCCCTGTGTTCCACTGCAGGGGGCATTCTGGTTGTGTGTCTTCAGGGGCTAACAGCGTGGAGGAAGCCAGCCTCCCAGGGGGGCCAAGCCCAGGTTTCTCCAAAGGTGCAGAGAAGGCAGGGGTGGCCCCAGATCTGGTGACAAGGTGGGAAGGAGCAGCCGTCTGAGGAGCCCCTGGGGCTGGCTGCATGCCCTTAGCGTAGAGCTCTGCATTGGTTTGAAGCTGACAGTCCCTGCCCAACCTCTGGGCATCCCAGATGTGGTGGGTGGGGAGAGCTATGAGGACCCCTAGACTGACTCCGGACCACGACCCAGGGGGAGGGCCTCTTTCTGCTAAACCATACCCAGCACCGAGCTTCAGGGCTGGCAGGACCCCGGGAAAGCGCCCTTGGTCTCCCTTCCCATTGTTTGGGCGAGGGAGCCAGCCTGAGAGGCCAGGGTGGCCCATGGTGGACATCCACTTAGCAACAGACCTGAGCCGTCTCTCCCATTCCCAGGAGCCTGGAGGCCCCTCCCTGTCCCCACTCCCCCTGGCCTAAGCCAGGGCTTCTGGCCAGAGGGAGAAAACTCAAGGCCCCTTGGCTGCCTGCTATCTCTACACCGGTCCTTGTGGAGAACCCCAAAGACCTGGCCAGGAGTTCTCTGGGGCCCCAGCTCCCAGTGGGGGCTGGCATTTCCTGGGGCTGTGCTGACCCCTCCCGGCGACGGGTGGCATTGCAGTGCCCCTCCGCCCCAGAGCTCTTTTTCCTCTTGGCTGGGTGTCTAGTCTCACTTCACCCCTTCCCCTCCTTCAACTACTCCCCAGTCAGCCCGCTGCGCCAGGGAAGCCACCCTGCCCCACCCCACCCCAGCAGACACACACACACACACACACACACACACACACACACACACACCAGTGAACACGCCAATTCAAATGTCTGTTCCCATCACTGCCCCACTCTGAACCTTCGGTGGCTCCCCATGCCGATAGTGATGGCATTCAGCAGTCGTGAGCCCTGTCTTCACGTGACAGCCGGTGAAAACCCATCTATCAACCAGGTGTAGGTGGAGCTACTCTGGCTAAGGCAGGTGTAGGCATCCTCACGGTGGGTCCCCAGCCCTCAGGGCTCCTCTAGGACCACCCAGGGCTCTGAAAAGACACTGGTTTACACAGCCATCAAGTGTCCCTCGTGCTCAGGGCCTTCCCAAGGAGGTGCCTACCTCCCCCAGTCCCTCTCCCACCCCACCCTCTCTCTCAGGCAGCCCAGCCTCCCCGGCACATGAGCTCTCAGCCATCTCCAGACCCTCATCCTTTCCCGGCGGTTCCCTCTGGGGCTCCCTGCTCTCCTCCTTCACCTGCCCAAGCCTTCGGAGGCTAGCATGAGGTGACACGTTGGTCCCTCACTGACAGCCCCGTATTCATGCAGAGCATGGGCCAGAACGTGGGCTCTTAGCCCAGACCGCGGGCTGTTAGAGCGCCCTTGCTGCTGGAGGGCCTGGAGCCCTCCGTGGGCTGCGACCTCCGGAGAGCAGCACCTTCTCTGTCCCCCTCCGAGCCACCAGAGCCCACGCCCTGGTTGCTGCATTACCAGGACTGAACGTGTGTCCATCGAGCACCTTGAGCCAGTGCCCCCGTCTGCCCTGAAGAAGGCACAGGGCTGAACCGGCCCTGCCCGTCCCCTCCCCCTGTCTGGAAGCCCAGGAGGGAGACCCTGGGCACATGGAGCTAGATAGCTGGGAGGGTGTGTGCCACCTACCTAGTTAGGGCAGGGCGGAACTGGGGCTAGCTGTCTTGACCCCCCTGATCACCAGCCGTCTGGCACAGAGCCTGGTCCCCAGGAGGACCAAGGCCCTGCTAACTATGTTGGGGGTTGGGGGGGCTGGTTTCCAGGGCAGTGAAGGGACTCGAGGCCCATCAGGCATGCCTGGTTCCCCTGGACCACCAGGACCTCCTGGGATTCAGGTGAGCGTGGGCCCACCCAGCCTGGCGAGTGTGAGGCAGGAGTCTGTATGTGCGTGTTTGCACTCGGGTGTGCTCCGTAAGACTGGGGCTGGGTGAGGTGTGGGAGAGCTGAGAGGTGGGGGCAGCCTTCTGCTTGCCGGGGGCCCCGGCACAGGCAGGCAGCTGATTTTTTCTTGCTTGCAGGGCCCCGCCGGCTTGGATGGCCTGGATGGGAAGGACGGCAAGCCTGGCTTGAGGGTGAGGCTCCTTTCCAGTTCCTTCCTTCCCGGGAGTCAGTCCTGAGAACCTGATGAAAGAAACTCAAGTCCCCCCTCTGCCAGGGGGTGCCCACATCTCCCCGCCATCTGCTTTCCATCACACCCTCCCTCCCGGCCCCGTGGGCTCTCAGTCCACCCTTAACCTGGTTGGACATGCTAGGCTTCTCCACAGGCTGGGCGATGAAAGGAATCAGTTACCCAGAGATGCTGGCAGCCAGAGAAGTCCGGCTGGGTGTTCGGGAGAGGCGGGCTGCAGGCAGGAGGGCTTGAGCACGCCCTGGCTCATGGGGTCTGGCTCTGCTGGGGAATCCGAAAGGCATGGGGCCATAGCGCAGGGCAGAACATCAAGTCCAGCCCTTCTGTACCCAGCATGAGGCCCCGAGTCACCCAGTCACCCAGCATGCACAGCCTGGCCCCATGACAGCCCCCCTCCCCTGTCCTGAGGGAGCTGGAGAAAGAGGGGAGGGCACACGAGTGTCTGGGTTGGGTACAAGCTGGACCAGAGTCTTGCCTCCATGTCCTGGTCTCTTTCCCTAGGGAGACCCTGGTCCCGCGGGCCCCCCTGGACTCATGGGACCCCCGGTAAGTTGAACAGCAGGTGGAGGGGTTGGTGTTCTGAGGGCTGGGCATTGCAGGCTTGGCCTGAGTGGGCTGTGGGCCGGCTGCTCAGATCCAGGCCTGAGAGGTAGATGTCATACTATGATTCTGAAGAGGGAGGAGGGCTGAGATGAGGGGGCTGCGGACAAGCGCGACAGCTCCCTACTTTTCCTTTCAGGGCTTCAAGGGGAAAACTGGACACCCTGGCCTCCCAGGACCTAAGGTAAGAAAGGACCAGGCAGGTTGTCACTGTTCTACACCAGGCCTGGCTTCAGACAGACTTGACAGCCTTGCCTGGGTGGAGGTGCCACCTTACCCTGGACTGAGATGCCAATCCAACATCCACGCCACTCGAAGCCAATGGTGCCCAGGGTCATGGGTCAGGGCTTCTCTGTCTTAGCCTGAGGGCCAGCATCAGGGCTGATGGCCGCAGCCCTCCAACGTGGGGTGAACTTGAAATGTGAAAGTGAACTTGAACTTGGTACCAGGTGAGCCAGGGAAGGTCTGATGGGCTCTAGCTGCATCTTTGCCTCCTAGGGTGACTGTGGTCAACCAGGGCCCCCTGGCAGTAGTGGCCGGCCTGGAACAGAGGTAAGGACCTCCTCCCTTGGCCTGCCGGGGCCTCTCACCCAACAGGGCACATCGCGAGCCTTCTGAGAGGCTGTTGAGCCACCAACCTAGAAAGGCTTAGCAGGGCCGGCCCTCAGACCCTGGCAGGCTGGGGTCTGCAGGCCATGGCCTGGACTGGCCCCCTGCTCATGACCGTGCCCACCTGCTCAGCTTTACTGCCCAGCCCTCCTGTGCCGCACAGTCATGCGTGATGAGTGAGTCTGTTTCTGGATCAGTTCTTCTTTTTCCGCCTCTTGCAGGGTGAACCCGGCTCCGTGGGACCCCAGGGAAGACCCGGCCCCCCGGGCCATCTTGTGAGTTAAACTGCTTTGCACTGTTCTGGTCTCTGCCTATGTGGGGGTTCGGATCCTGAAAGCGTGGGGGCAGGTTGGTGATGGCCTAAAAGCACTCCCAGAGCAATGCCAGCCTCAGAGGTCAGTAAGGGGCTCCAGGCTCCCCTTAATCCCATGTCTTTCCCCCATTTTCTCGGTTTGGATACACATGGGCGTTTCCTTATCCAATAAAAGGCAGTCGGTTCCTCAAGTACTGCTTCAGCACCTGCTCCACACAAGGCCCTTTTCCACCCATTGAGGCCACAGCATGAGCAAGGGGCACAAGGCCCCTGAGTGGCCAGAGCTGTCATGTGGGCACTTCCAATGAAGACAGTGTGACGGGAGGGCCAGGGTGGGGTTGGGGAGCAACGTTAGTGAACGCCTTGAAGGGGCTTGATTTGAGTGAGGGCCAGGAGGAACCAGCTGTCGAGGGAGCCTGGAGGGAGAGTGCTCCCCACCGAGGAGCAGCAGACACAGAGCCTGCCCCAGGCCGTGGGGAGCTTGGTGCGTTTGAGGGACCCCAAGAAAATCAGTATGATTGGACCCAAGGAGATCAGTATGGCTGAATCAAGCCAGGGGAGCTGATTCATGGGGGGACTGGGTCAGTGCCCCTCACTCTGTGGCTCTGCGGACTTAGCTCCTAGCCCTCCCAGAGAGCAGGAAGGAAGCAGGGCTGCCTTTAGGAAGGGGGACCCAAGACCCACTAAGGTTTGAGAAGGCAAGAGTGGGAAGGGTGGAGCTGAGTTTAGGGGGGACGGACGTGATGGGGACAGTGGGAGCCCTGTGGGGTGCGGTCAGGAGTTTGGGGGAGGGCGCGTGTGTCCCTGGAAGTAGGGCTGGAACTAGGAGGTCTTTGGTGCTGTGGACGGGTGGTTATGGAGAGGGAGGAAGAGGGGGAAGAGTTGGGATGTGTTTCGAGGTAGAGGACTTTCTAATGACCTAGGTTAGAAGGTGGGGGGTGGGGTGGGGTATAGAGAGAGTTTGAGAATGGGTTTGGCTTGGGCTGCTGGGTGAGTGGGCGGTGTCGTTCACTGAACAGAGAGACCAGGAGAGGGCATTGAGGTGACCAATGTGAATTTCCTGTCCACTTTACTCATCAGTAGCACAAGGCCTGCCAATTGGCGCCTTGGATCAGCATCTCTGCACCGAGCTGAATAATACCCTGGGGTCTTATTTGCAGCCTCATGTGGCCACCTGGACCATTTCCAAGAGGCTTTTTGAAATATTAAAAGTAGTTTGTGACCAAAAAAGAAGTAACTCTCAGGTCCCCACCACTATTTTGATGATCCCAAGGGAATCCAAGAACTGACCGAACCCACCGCCGTCGAGTGGATGCTGACTCTGTGCAGCTCACAGGAGTTTCCAAGACGGTGACTCTTCACCGGAGTAGAAAGCCCCCGCCGTCTTGCTCCCATAGAGCAGCTGGTGGTTCAGCCCGGCCCACAGCCACATGCCGCCAGGGCCCTGAATTTAGCTCCCCTAGCTGGAGCCTGGTCATCACAGGGCAAAAGAGACTAAGCGTCCGGGTCGCACACTCTGAACTGCGACCTCATCGCAGGCTCGAGGGGAGGGGGCTCGGGATGTGGAGCACGGGACTCTTCCTCTCCCTTCCGCTGTCTGAAGGCTGGGCTTTTCCACCCTGGGACCCTGTAGGGGAGCAGAACAGGGCCCTCGGCCTCTAGAACTTTCATTCTGGGAGTGTGGAGCAGAAAAGAGAGCACGGGGTGTCCTGGGGCTCAGAGACCAGGGAGGGCACCTGAGCTGTCCCTCAAAAGAAGAGTGTGGGCCACAGGGCAGGACAGGGCATTCCGGGCAGGACAGGAGCAGTCTGGGGGGTTGACACGAAATGTGGAGTCTCACAGCTCTCCAGTGACAAGGATGATAGGAGACAAGCCAGAGGAGTTGATTCATGGGGCGACTGGGGTCTGGGCCCCTCACCCTGCTGCTGTGCAGACTCCGCTTCTGGCCCTCCCAGAGAGCAGGAAAGGAGCAGGCCGCCTTTAGGAAGGGGGACCCCAGACCCACCTCGTTACCGCCCTCTGTCCTCTGCCCTCTGTGCTTGGCCGCTGCCTGTGGCTCCCAGAGCATGCCTTCAGCAGGTCCCTGGAG